CGCAGCTTTTTCCCAGCTATGAATGTCAGGCAGAGGTCAGAAAGTCCTTCTGATCTTTCCAAACTCCAGTGGTGTATAGCAAACTGGCATTCCAGGAATTGTGGAGCGCTGGGAGCTGAAGTCAATCAAGAATAGCAACAGCAAAACATTCAAGCCAAAGGTTATTGAGCAACAGGTATTAGAGACTAAGGGAACTGACTGGAAACTAAGAGACTGTTGTGGATTAGAAACTCTTCTAAGGGAAACACCTCATCATCTAAACAGCTTGTGATGATCAGAAGAGAAGTATATGAACTGATGTGACAGATTGAATTAGGAAATGTAATTCTGAGCTGATTTGGTAGAATTAATGGGCTTGTTTTTAAGTAGATCTTTTAAATTGTCTAGAATACAATTTTGAATACCAGGTGGATTATTCTCACTGGTCACAGCTCTGCTACCTGACATAGTTCCTTTTTATTCTTCAGTTTTATTCCCAAAAACATCCTTAGCACAGACACGATTCTCTTCTTCAAAAATTCCATATTCTCATCCTGAGTCCCAGTGGCAGGCTAAGAGGAAGCGTTTATGGAGTTTATTTCCATATTCATCTGCCAATATCTGACCTTCAGGCCAGACACAGAATTTTGACAATAATGGATGGTGTCTCATAAACATACAAACACCAGGAGGAGTCAGACTTCCACAGGCACACTCCTGCCCCTGCCCTGAGTGTTCAGTGGGGATGGTCTTCCATGGCTTTGGAGTCTTTCTTTTTAAATTGCTCTATAAAATAGCAACCTGTCCCCACCCCTGGGGTCCCAGTTTATGTCATGTGTTGTTTATAATCCTGAAATGGATACTGGATTCAGTTCTTGAAAATCAGAGAAGTAACCCCCTGTTTATGAGCACATCCTGCAGTTGCAGAAGGCTTCAAGTGCTATAGACCTGCAAACAGTAAGAGGCTTGTTTACCAAAAATTAGCATTAGCGACCTCACAGTGATTTCCTCAGCCCCAGGCTGTAACCTCAGGTGGGAGAAGTTTTTCCCAGACTGACTCCACTGAATTTGACTTCATTTGTAAAGAAACAGAGGATGTAATTAAAAAATGGCAGTAAGTGGGAGAGATGAACTTCAGAAAAAAAAAAATAAGCAGTTCCCACCTTAGCATATTGAGAAGTGAGCAGATTAAAAAGAAGAGACGGGTAAGAAAAGAAACATGATGTTCCTACCTCATCAGGGTTTGGTGACCAAGCAGCTGCTCCAGAGAGCAGGAGGGTGCCCAGTAATGCCCAGCAATGCCCAGCCCAACCCATTTGGCCACCCAGCAGGGCAGGGCTGAGGCCCCTTGGACACCCTCCAGCCACACCAGCAGCCAGGAGGAGCAACAGGACCAGTTTGGAGGTCACCCATGTTACTGGGAGACCAGTTTTCATCAGGAGGAGGCTCAGAGCTGCCAAATGCTCCTGGAAAACCAGCCCAGCCTCGAAAGGCTGCTCAGGAAGAACCTCATTATCACATCAGGGGGGCCCCTCAACCATCAGCTCTGGCTGCACCACGGGTTTGATCCCACAGGATTAAAAATCCAGGAACGGGGCTACTGATGTGACCTGCTGTGCCATGTCCTCACGCTGGAAATTATATACGTTTCCCAATTAATTGTTTTAATTAGGCAGTGTGATTTCCCACTGGAGCAAGGTTTTTCACAAACCCAGTTCAGCAAAATCACTGAAACTTGAAGTTTTGCTAAACCAGCTTCAACAAGCAAAGCCTGGGGGAGAGAAATACTGCTGAGAACTGGGCACCAGGAATGCAGGACTTATAGCCCACAAGGACATGTGGCAGAAACCAGAGATAAAAAAAGAAACTAACCCAGACAACTCAGCATTTGCACTGAAATTCTGTCTATCTGAGAAAAAAAAAATAACAAAAACACTGAAAATGGGGGCTAATTAGCATGATAAGGGAGAAATAATAACCAATAGAAAATAGACTAGTAATTAATTAAGAGAATTTTGTAATTTATAGCCAGTGAACATTAATTAATCAGTGAAAAGTTTGGAAAGTGGGTATTGCTTGTTTGGAGGAGAGACCCCATGAGCACCTGGCACTGTGAGTAAAGTAATCCCTGCTTTCTAATGCTAAAAAAACCAGTGATGGAGAGTTTGATTTATCCTGATGTTTCCAGCAACACTTGGCTCCTCCCAAAGCACACACTCACCTTCCAGAGAGCCGGGCAGGAAAGGGGAGGTGTTGTGGGCACCCAGAAATGCTCCAGCTCCTCCTGGCTCTGTTGGGACGACCAGCAGCACCTGGGCAACTCTGCCACACACACTGAAGCGCCCAAAACACGGCGAGAGGTGACGGGATTCCTCATTCCCAAGAAGTTCTGACTGGTGGAGCTTCAGGAAAATGATCCCCTGCGAGTCAGACCCTGCTGAGGGACTCCGTGTGTGTTCCCGGGTGCTTCTCGTGGCAAGGCTGACACCTAGTGATGGGACAGAGCCGTTTAACCCATACAGAAATATAGAAAAATATAGATATATAAATATAGAGACACTCGTGTGTGTGCAGAGTCACCGGTAACGGGTGACAGGACATGCACAGCCCTAGGAAAGAAGGAGGGGAGAAGACAGAGCTCAGTTATGGAAGTCAGAGATGAACTGGAAAGCCAGACTTAACTTCCAGCCTGTCTCTCTAAACCCTCTCTCTCACTCTCCCCAAACTCCCAGGGCTGCCAGCCCTAAATCCTCTCCCTGAGTGCCCATTTAGCACCTTGTTATGCCGAGCACCTGCAGGAGTTGCTCCAGCTCAGCCTCCTGACCTGTTTGTAGGGTCAGGTTTGACCCTTTAACCCCTCCCTGTGACCTGTTTGTAGGGTGGGAACAGGAGGTTTGACCCTTTAACGCCTCCCTGTGACCTGTTTGTAGGGTCAGGTTTATCCAGGAGATTTGGCCCTTTAACCCCTCTCTTTGACCTGTTTGTAGGGTCGGAACAGGAGGTTTGACCCTCTAAGCCCTCACTGCCCCAAGGCTGTGTCTGAAGGAGACCAAACGTGGTCCAGGCACAGGGTGGGGCTGTTGGGGTGTCCTGTGTGGGGCCAGGAGCTGGACTGGATGATCCTGATGATGCCCAGGTTGGGGTTTGATCCCTGTCCGGGCCGATCCCTTTAGAGTTGGACAGATGGTCCCTGGAGGTCCCTCCCAGCTCAGCAGATCCCACCGTTCTGGGATTATCAAGAGCACCCTGCAACCAGCACCTCCCACCTGGGTACCTCAGGGTGCTCCCACGAACTGTACAATGAGATATTTTATTAGGTAAAGCCCCTGTTAATACATATTGTGTCGCAATTCTGCAAGATCCCAAATTCCCAAGGCACTCCTGGAAACACGGGGAACCCTCTGTGAACCAGAAAACACCAAATTCTCATCCAGACTGCACCATGAGAAACCTTGAATGACCATTACACCACTATCCACTGGAAATGGCATAAATTAAATTATTTCTATAAAAAAAACCACAAAAAAAAAAAAAAAAAACAAAAAGAAAACAAAAAAAACAAACATAAAAAAACCAAACAAACAAAAAAAACCAAACAACCACAAAAAAACCCAAAATAAAACAAAAAAACACCCAAAACAAACAAAAAATCAAAACCACAAAAAAACAAACAAAAATTAAAAAACTCCCCGCTGTGCTTTACGGCAGTGTGGCATAGTTTTGCAGCAGTGCTGCCTTGCGGTTTACGACAGCGAGACGCTTCGTTTTGCGGCAGCACCTCTCCTTCGCTTCACGACAGCGTGGCGTCGCGCTTTGCGGCGGTGTGGCGGGGTTTCACGACGGTTGGCCCCGCCGCTTTGCGGCGGCGCGGCGGCCATGGCGGCGCGGTTCAGCGGCGTCCTGCAGCTCACCGACCTCGACGATTTCATCGGCCCCTCGCAGGTGGGGCCGGGCTGAGCGGCCGGGGGCTGCCGGGGGGCTGCCGGGGCCGGGGGATGTCAGGCACTGCCCCGGCACCCGCGGGGAGGGGGCAAACACGGCCCTCAGGGGGTTGGGGCGGTGGTGGGGATGCGACAGTTACCTCCTGTCCTGTCACTGCACAGGGACCTGCCCTCCCCTCTCAGACACCGCCTGCTGCTGTGGGAGATGGGAAAAGGGGGGGAAATGGACATTCTTCGCTGTCCCTCCCAGCCCCAGCGCAGGGAACAACGAGGGCAGTGCGAGCCGCTGGGGACAGGCAGGAATCTGGGATCAGCCAAGTGATCCCCACCCCGCTCCGTGGGGTGGTCGTTTGGGCCCTTCCCAGTAAAATCTGAAGCCTGAAGAAGGTTCCTGTCACACGAGTCACCCGCACAGATGCTGTGCCAGCGGGACGAGCAGCGAGGAGGTGCAGCTCGGCTGCTTCGAGGAGCTCCAGGCGCTGGAAAAGTGCAAAATATTGACCCTGGAGTGCAAAATGTTGACCCTGGAGTGCAAAATATTCATCCTGGAGTGCAAAATACTCATCCCGGAGTATGCAAAATATTAACCCTGGATGTATTTGCTGACAAGCACCGCGGGAAGACCACCCTGAAATGAGATCAGTGGGACGGGGAATAACAAACCCTGCTCGCTCTCCCTGAAGTTCTTGGGTTTCCAAGGGAATCCTTCACGATTTGCCTTTCAGGGAGGGATCGCTGTAGAACCCAGGAGTTCTCTGAACCCTGCAGGAAGTGTAGGGAATGCGGGAGAGGTGGCTGAGTTTGGGGGCCCCGGAGGCAGAGCAGGGTGTGCAAGGCAGAGGAGCCGGGGCTGGAGCAGCAGGACGAGGAGTCGGGCGGTGCCTGAACAATAAAAACGGCACAAAATGCAAAATAAAAAAAAAAAAAAAAAAAAGGGACTACTCCACCCTGGAACAGCACAGGGAACGGGAATTGGCCCAGGGAGCTCCTCAGGGGCCCTTTGCCATGGAATTAAACTTCCCTGGCAGCAGGACGCGTGTGCACGGACCACTCCTCCCCAGCGCAGGAGGAGAGGATGGGCTGAGGCTGGGGAGGAGGATCTGGCCACGGTCTGCTCTGTCAAAGCCCTAAAGCAGAGCTGAGATCCTTCAGAGAGAGCAGCAAAGGCATCCCCTGCTTTTGGAATGATGCTGGAAAGGTGTTCTTTCTGTGCAAAAGGGGTAAGGAGCCTTTCCTTGGATGTTTTCTTACAGCACCATTATAAGGGAGAGGAGTCGGATCCGTCCAGAACTGATCATTCCACTTCTGTGAACCCAACCTCTCGGGTGCTCATCTCCTCACTTGGGGGCTTTGTTGCTCTTTCAGGAATGTATCAAACCTGTCAAGGTGGAAAAACAGGCTGGAAAAGCAGCAGCAAAGATCAGGATTGAGGCAGATGGGAGCTACTTCCAGATCGATCAGGTAGGTGGGAATTTGATCATTATTGTGTAAAACACCCAGAAAAATGAGTGTATTTTAACTATTCGAACAGTTAATGCCTCAAAGAGAACCAAGATGATAGAAAAGTGTTGCTGCTGCTGGAAGCATTCTTGTACTTTTTTTTCCCAAAGTCTGACTTTTTAATTTCTAAGCAGTAATTTCAATTTTGTGTCAGTTTTATGCTCTGAAACATTGACATTAATCAGTGATGATTTTCATTTTATCAATTATCAATTTATTAGATTTTAATTTGTGAGCATTTTAATTTAGAAATTAACTTATAAGCAGTGATTTTATAAGCAGTAATTGCAATTTTGTGTCAGTTTTATGCTCTAAAACACTGACATTAATCAGTGATTTTCAGTGTTAGAGCAGTAAAGCTGAGAAGTTTATTTTGCCATCAGTCCTTAAGGATCAGCAATTCCAGATTATTTGGGACAATGCCTTTTTGTGCTCACTCCTAATGAGATTCAATTGGATATTTTTAGTAAATCTTGCTCTGTTTTTTTTTGATAATATTTCAAATAATTTCTCAAATGTCCTACTGAATTCATAAGTCTCCTTCCAAAATTCCCATTGAGTTTTGCAGAACAGTTTCCCTGTTTTCACAGAAAATTTTGGCATTACTTAGTTAACCAAGCTGGGAATTCATCTGGGAACGATACTTTTAATTTTAGGCAGATAGTGACCCTTTGACCTAAAGAAAGGAGGATACAGCACATCCAGAGGGGTCTGGTTTCTTATTTTATAGTTTTAATAGCACCTAACTGCTCTGCCTGTTCCTGACTTTATCCAGGAGTGATAATTAGAGGAGACTCTCAGGGGAAAACCAACTTATTCAGGTCAGATATCATGAAAACTGTTTCCTTCCAGTGACAAGCCACACACTGCCTGGGATTAATCTTTCCATCTCTGTGCCAGACAATCCTATTAAAACCAGCAAATTCAGGTGTCTTCCACCCCATCTGACTGAAAACAAACCTCCTTCCTCTAATGATGAACCAAGAGCATGAAAAGAGCAACATCTTTGGTCCTGTTTGTGGTGAAGGTGGCAAAGCAGCTCCTGAGCCCTGGGTGAGCCCAGAGCTGAGTGTGCCCTCTTTCCTTGCAGGATGGGGGAGCACAGAAGCTGGAAAAGGCCAAAATCACCCTGAATGACTGCCTGGCCTGCAGTGGCTGCATCACTTCGGCAGAGAGTGTCCTCATCACCCAGCAGAGCCACGAGGAGCTCTGCAAAGTGCTGGCTGGCAACAAGGTGGGCCACAGGTTGTTGCATCTGCACAAACCACACAGCAAAACAGAGTTTCAGAGCCCTGAAGGTGTTTTTAGTGCACCCTCGTGGGTTGTTCTCATTTTTTGAAAAGTTTTCAAGGGCTCTGTGTGAGTTACTGACTGAAGAGTTAATGTGTGAGGTACCTTCTGATGCTCCAGTGCTGGAATTGTGCCTGTGCCATGTTGTCTGACAGTGGTTCTGTTTGGTTTTATCCAAGGCTGCTGCTCCCAATGAACAGAAATTGGTGGTGGTCTCTGTTTCCCCTCAATCCAGAGCTTCCCTGGCTGCAAAGTGTAAAATGGGTGTTCTGGAAACAGCCAAGAAGCTGACAACGTTCCTGAAGAGTTTAGGCAAGTGTGGGATTGTTGTGTTATCCCAGAGGGGCTGTGGGGTTGGTGTGAAACAGGACTGTTTGAGAGCACAGAGTTGAGGGGATTTAAACCCCAAACTGTCCCCAACTTCAGTCACAGAATAAAATTGGGGGGACTTTTTATAGAGGCAGATAGTGCCAGGACAAGGGGGAATGGATTTAAACTGCCAGAGGGCAGGGTTAGATGGGATATGGGGAAGAAATTGTTCCCTGTGAGGGTGGGGAGGCCCTGGCACAGGTTGCCCAGAGAAGCTGTGGCTGCCCCATCCCTGGAAGTGTCCAAGGCCAGGTTGGAGCAACCTGGGCTAGTGGAAGGTGTCCCTGCCCATGGCAGGGGGTGGATTAACTGACCTCTGAGGTCCCTTCTGACCCAAACCATTCCATGATTCTATGAAACATGTTAAGGAGCATTTACAGGAACTTTCCATTTTAGATTTACAGCTCTCCTGTCACTTTTGCTCCTCTTCTTTGCTGGTGTGTTGGGGAAAAAGGCTCCCTCTCAACTGCAGGGGTTGGTGCCTGTAAATAAGTTAGAATCTGGCTTAACTAGAGGCTTTCTGCTGCAGTTTGCTGCATCTCTGCTGTGGATTTTAACACAGATGCTGTCCTGCCTAGGTGTGCACTATGTTTTTGACACAACTTTCTCCAGAAACTTCAGCCTGTTGGAGAGTCAGCGGGAGTTCGTGAGGCGCTTCCGCCGGCAAAGTGAGGACAGGAAGGCTCTGCCAATGCTGGCCTCTGCCTGCCCAGGTATGCAGGGAGTTAGAACTGGAACTGAGAATCCCAAAGCTGGGCAGAAAGGTTTAAATGGCTGCATTTACCTGGGGGGTTGCTCTCTTCAGCACAAAGAGAGCTCGGTGTTAACAGCAGGGCTGATCCAGCTGCCCAAGGATCTCAGAGAATCCTTTGCTTTCTGTGCTGGAGTGAGGCTCAGAGTGGTTATTAATGAGTGCTAAGCCTGAGGCTGGGGGGAGGACGGGCAAGGTAAAGGCCTGCTTGTTGTTTTTAAGTTTAATTTGCTAATTCCATTCTCTCCAGGTTGGATCTGCTACGCAGAGAAAACCCACGGCAGCTTCATCATCCCCTACATCAGCACCACCAAGTCTCCCCAGCAGGTCATGGGCTCCTTGGTCAAGGGCTATTTTGCAGAACAGCAGGTAAAGGTCTAAAAATGCTATTCCTGATGGAAAACCGACTAAATTGAACACTTTAGGCTGATTTTTTTTTCCTCTTTTGCTACATGTTATCCATGTTTAAAGGTAAAAATCACCCTGCAGAAGGTTACAAAGCCAGAGTCTTCCTCACTTCTGTTTTATCTAATGAGAAGTTCCTGACTAGGGCACAACACTAAGCACGTGCTGCAGGGGCTAATTAAAACCTCTGGGTGTTATTTGGGAAGGCTGGAGAAACTTCTTTATCGGTGTCTTTCTGCTCCCATCTTGTCTGGGTCTGGTTTTTCGTGCTGGGGAGTAACTTCACATCAGCTCCCCTCAGCCAAGGCCTCAGTCAGTGCTTACGTGCAGATCATGCCTTGTCTAAAAACAACTCCCTCATTCCCAACTTGATGTTCTGTTGCAGCTGGGCTTAGTTCTGTCCTCAGTCTCTAACCTCTGGAATCCTTCCAAGAGTGAGTTTGATGTTCACAGCCTGGAGTTATGCAAATAGCCCAGATTTGTCCTGTAAGGAACTTAAGCACCACTTCTGGCTCTGTGATTAATTGTCCTCTAACGAGCAGTGGTTTAACACTTGCATTAAGGAGGTGCTGACATTGCATATTTGTTACAAAAATTGGCAGCTACTGAGAATATTTGGCACAAGGGACTCAAACAATGGCCCGGAGTCAATGACTTGTTTCCTTGGCCTGTGTTTAGTTCTTGGATGATCCTGAGGTTTTTGTCTGACTCCAGATCATGTTCCAGCTGCTGATCAGGGGCTGAGTTTTAGGAGCATGGAGGAAACATATTCCCTAAGTACTTCATCAGGGATTCACCTCTCTGCCTGACTTGGGATCATCTGCACTGGGATGGGGGGAAGCTTCCAGTGCCTGAAGGGAGCTGACAGGAAAGATGGACCCAGACTATTTACAAGGGCCTGGAGGGACACGACACAGGGTGTGGCTTCCCACTGCCAGAGGGCAGGGTTAGATGGGGTATTGGAGAGAAATCCTTCCCTGGGAGGGTGGGGAGGCCCTGGCACAGGTTGCCCAGAGAAGCTGTGGCTGCCCCTGGATCTCTGGAAGTGTCCAAGGCCAGGTTGGACGGGGCTTGGAGCAACCTGGGCTAGTGGAAGGTGTCCCTGCCCAGGGCAGGGGGTGGGACTGGATGGGCTTTAAGGTCCCTTCCAACCCAAACCTTTCCAGGATTCCATGAAACCTGTAAAGGACCAAACTGCTGACACTTGCTACAAACTGAAATTGGCTTCTAGGAGAGAAATAATGTATATATAAATAAATTTATATAAGTATTCAGTAAGAATGGGGGTTATTTCCAGGGGCATGGTGGCATTAATTTCACCATTCCCATTTGTACCTGGAAAACACCTCCCTCAGGACAGGTGGGATTTTGGCTGATCCACTGCCCAGCTTTGTCTTTCTTGCAGCACCTCACCCCTGACCAGATTTACCACGTCACAGTGATGCCCTGTTATGACAAAAAGCTCGAGGCCTCCAGGCCAGACTTTTTCAACCAGCAGTACCAGACCAGGGATGTGGACTGTGTGATCACCACAGGTAAGAGCCACAGGGAGTCAACTCATTCTGGAAGCCCCAGAGCCAAGGGTTTCCTAGTTTTACTGGCCCTTTGTCTCTGATAGAGGCTGTAGGGGATGAATATTGATGTATATTTACACTTTAATAGTGCAAATCATGCCCTGCTAAAAATGTAGGTGCAGCCTTTGGTACTGGTCTGTTTGTTTTCCTTTATCCCCAAAATAAGAACTATTTCTGGCTGGTTCTGTTTTAGGAGAAGTGCTAAAGCTGTTGGAACAAGAAGGAGTATCTCTCTCAGATGTAGATCCTGCTCCCTTGGATACCATGTAAGAACAAAATCTCATCCCAGTCCTGTTCTCTATCATCCAGTGCTGACAGAGTTCTTCTCTGGATTTCCCTTTCCACCACTGTTCTACACAGTGTGTGTGGGTTTGCTTTGTTTCCTTGTGTCACTTGAACCAGCACAATTGGGAGTTAAAATAATGTACAGAATAGGATGAATTCCCACTGGAATCACTCCAGCTCCTGTTACTCACAGGTTGCTGGTGCAATCACACAAAAACCTCCCTACAAGCCTTGAAAAGGGAAAGAATCTGGCTCAGTGTCAGTGAAACAAAGCTGGTACTGCCCTTTGTTCCTAATTGTCAGAGCTGCTGTGAGGATCCCAGAATTAAAGCATAAAGAAGAAATATTTAGGGCCCCACAGCTCATTTCTAGAAGCCCATTTGTAAAGAAAAATGAGATATAAAACACGTGCAAACCAGATGAGAATGAAGTTGTTTCAACTGAAGAGTCACATCTGGTTGAGTGACAACTGCCCAGACCTGGGTGACTGTCAAACCCTGAGCTGCCATCAGGGTGGATCTGACTGAGCACAGACCCCCAGCTGCCTTTTCTCCAGGGTAAAAGAAATGTCTCCACAGCTCTTTGCACATTAATGAACAGAGAATGACAGGTGCAGCAGCTTTCAGAATTATAGGAAGTGTTAAGTGTAGAATCACAGAATCCTGGAATGGTTTGGGTTGGAAGGGACCTTGAAGCTCATCTCATTCCAACCCCTGCCATGGGCAGAGACACCTTCCGCTAGCCCAGGTTGCTCCAAGCCCTGTCCAACCTGGCCTTGGACACTTGCAGGGATGGGGCAGCCACAGCTTCTCTGGGCAACCTGTGCCAGGGCCTCAAGACCCCCATAGGGAAGGATTTCTCCCCAATATCCCATCTAACCCCTCTGGCAGTGGGAAGCCATTCCCCCTTGTCCTGTCACTCCAATTCCTGATGAGGGTCCCTCCCCACCTTCCTTGTAGCCCCTTCAGACACTGGAGTCCCAAAAGCACAACTTCAGACATTGCCCATGTCAACACACCCTCGTCTTCCACCTGCTTTTTGTTACACCACGAGCAGAAAACCGAGGGGAAAAAACGATCCTCAAGGGTCTGCCTTCCCTTGGGGAATGACCATCTGGAAGTGTCAGTTATAACAGGGAACTGAACATCTAATTACCTGATAAAGATCTCTGGGCAGCTGCTCAGGAGAACATTGTGAGCACCAGGCCTCGTGCTGGGGATGAGCAAGTGCCTCCACAGCCTCCCAGGGCTCCCACGTCCTCGGGGATTGTCTGGCTCCAAACAGCACGTATTCCTTGGGAACTGGAGCCTGCCCACGAGCAGCCCAAGGCCTGTTGTTCTGCTTTATCCCCCAGCACGTGCAAAAGCCCATTAAGGTTATTACATTTGGCAGCAGGGATGGGCTGAAGTGCCAGAAATCCCAGGAGTTTTGCTGGGATAACCGTTTGCTCCGGGCCAGCACCGGAGCTTCCTGGCAGCTCCGACTGGGGAGAGGAGCTGTACGTGAGGGCAGACACACAGGGGGTGGGATGGGGCTCAGTTCCTGTAAACAACAGCAAATTAAAAATAGTTCCTGCAGCCTCAGCTGGGGCTTCAGCAGCTCTTCCACAGCGAAGATTTTATCTGCCAGAGGCAACAGCTTCCATTGGACTTGAAACTTTGGCCCCGGTTCAAGTGTTTTCCCCTCCGCAGCTGTCAGTGGGAGAATCCAAGTGTCAGTGCCTGAGCAGGGGTGCAGAGAGAGCCCTCAGCTCCTTCTCCTCTCCTAACAAAAGCTATTGTTGTGGCTTCCATGTGTGGAGCTGTTCCCCAGGAACACTGCCACGATTCTGCAGAGCCGGTGGAGTTCTGGCCTGGCAGGGAGATGGGATTGGGTGTGCAGAGCTGGAGTTACAGGGCTGGTGGTAACAGAGTTGTCCAACACAAAAAACATGGTGAACTTGAACCAGGATCCTGCTGAAACAGCCGTGGAGGGAGCAAAAGTCCTGGCACTGCTGGAACCCTGGGATGGTTTGGGTTGGAAGGACCTTAAAGCTCATCCAGTGCCACCCCCTGCCATGGGCAGGGACACCTTCCACTGGCCCAGGTTGCTCCAAGCCCTGTCCAACCTGGCCTTGGACACTTCAGGGATGGGGCAGCATGTGACATTATTCCCAGTGAGCAGCACAGGGTCCAACCTGGTGGTCTCTGGGGCTATAATTTGGTTCCCAGAGAAAGGGAAAAGCTGGAGCTCAAAGGGAGCTGTTTTGTGGCTTCTTCTGCTGTTCCTCAGTCCCCTGGCCCTCTGTGTTCATGTTGGCTGTTTGTTTGACCAAAGATCCCCCCCTAAAGGTGCCACTCTCTCCCTCCCCCAGGCTCAGCAGTGCAGCAGAGGAGCTCAGCACCCACCCTGGAGGGGGCTCGGGGGGATACCTGGAGCACATTTACAGGCACGCAGCCAAGGAGCTCTTTGGGATTCAAGTGGATGCCATAGAGTACAAACCTCTAAAGTAAGAAGCTGGAAATCCTGCTTGTTTTTTGGAATTCTCTCCATGCTGTTATCTTGCTGATGGGCTGAGATTTTCTTTGCAATGTTCAACATTTTTACTTCCAGGCTTGAGAGTTGACTCCTCACTCCCCCAGTTGCTGAGCAATAAATCAACCACTCTGGGCTGCCTTTCCCCTGGAGATTTCCAGCCCCTTCTCCACCCACACACTTTAGTTTGGCCTGGTGGATTTTCCCAGTGTCAAGTTGCAGGCAATTTTTAGAATAATTTGGAAGGCAGAGCTCCCATGGACCTGGGCTTCCTCACCTTTGGTCACACCAATAAAGTAGATTTGTCACTAATTATTGATCACAGAAAAAAACCTTGTGTGAGGGTTTTAGGGCTCTGTTTAAACTATAAACAAGTCACATGAGTTTGGGCATTGAGGCTCATTCACCTGAGATTCCTTCTACCTTCCCAGCTATAACTTAATGTATCATTTGTAATTAATTATATCCCCGATGAGCAACATTTATGTTTAGGATTCCCTGGTCCAGGAAGCAGAAGAAATACGTGATAAAAACCAAATTACTTACTTTTTTTATCAGGAACAAGTATTCCCACTAACCTTTGGAGTCTGGAATCCTTCAATCTTGGTTTGCTCCCTGGTTTTGTGGCCCATTGCAAGTTAAAAATTCCCTCAGTGGCTTCAGGTCTGTCACAGTGAAAGGTTCCATTTGCTGAGCTTTTAAGGATTTATTCAGCACAGGTGTCCTTCAGCAAACTCTACTCAGGTGGCAGCTCCTCAGACAAGCCTGGAGAAGGATCTGGAAGTAGTTCCTTCATATTTTGTTTGGATGGCAAAGAACTAGGACAGCTCTCAAGATTCACAGAGAACTTGGGTTTAGCTCAGGGCCCTTTGAAGTTTAAAATAGAAGTTCATTTGGGTAAGACATTTCCTCTGCTCCTGTTCCTCAGAAACAAGGACTTCCAGGAGGTGACTCTGCAGAGGGATGGAGAAGTCCTGCTCCAGTTTGCTCTGGCTTATGGATTTCGGAACATCCAGAACCTGGTGCAGAAGCTGAAACGGGGGAAGTCTCCGTATCACTACGTGGAGGTCATGGCCTGTCCCTCAGGTGGGGCTGCACTGCTGCAAATCCAGAGCTGGGAGATGCTCTGTGAAATTAAGCTTAAATACAAGGCAATAGGTGATTTCACATCCTGAGTGTCGTGGCAAAGCCGTGACCTCTGGAGGTGTGACAGTCCCGTCATCACAGTCTCAGAGCTGGCTGTGGGTTTTCCTGCCTCTAAGCCAGTAATGCCTCAGGATTTAAGTAACTGCTGTTAAATTCCATCACACAAAATCTGCATAATTAGTGCTTTTAAGGAGGGTTTCCTGATTTTCTGAGCTCTTTGTTATCTGAGGGGATTTTTTCCCTAAAATTGCACAAAACTGGCCATTACACTTTTAGAAAACGTTGCGGGTGGGGAAAGTCTCTTCCTACATATTTTATTCCATTTTCCACTTAGTTTCCTTTCCCTCCCTCCTGGCTGTCTTGGAATCAGCCAGCAGGGACCAGGGGCAGCTTCATCCCAGCCTGGGGTGATGCTGAGGGGCCACTTTTGGCACTTGGAAGCCGCTGCTCCCTCCCGAGGGTCTGCACAGCTCCAGCGCCTGACACTGCTCTGGGCAACCTCTCACTGCAGAGCTCAGCTCCCAGCACCCCAGAACACATCCCAGGCACGTTTCCCTTGCCTTCAGCTGTGGCTCCAAGCCTGGATTCACCTGGAGTGTGCTCTGACCCTCTTCTGGAGGCAGGAGATAAGGGCTGGAGCTCCTGGCACGTTCCCAGCTGGCCACGGGCACAGCCAGGATCTCCCTGCCCTGTGGCCCTGCTGCTGGGAGATAACTGGGAGTAAACCTCCATTCTGAGGGTGTTTTCAGTTCTGTGAGTGTTTGCAGGTGCAGAGTAAATTAACTGTAGTTTTTCATTGTGTTTTTCCTGCTGAAGCTCAAGTTCCTTCTCCACTTGGTTTTCCCCGTTGTTGCCGCAGGTTGTTTGAACGGAGGAGGGCAAATCAAGCTGGAGGGGGGATCCAAGGACGAGCTGCAGCACGTGGAGAGGTTGTATGAGTCTCCAAAGGCTGAGATTCCAGAGGAGAACCAGGCTGTGGCTGAGCTGTACGAGCACTGGCTGGGAGGCAGGGACTCGGAGAAGGCTGTGGGAACGCTGCACACGGAATATCACCCCGTGGAGAAAGCAAACACGAGCTTCAACATCAAGTGGTGAACACTGACAAGCCCAGAGACACATCCTCAGTGCCTTTTTAACCCAGCTCTATTTATGATTCTCAAAGGACAGCTGAAGTTCTATGGAATTCCTGCCCCTGGAAAGGAGAAGATGGGAATGGTCGTAGAGCCCGGCACTAATAATTCCTTCAGCTTAATAACTGTTGAAGTGATGTAAATAAAAACCAAACACTAACTTAAAACACGTGTTTAAAGAAGCAGAAATGCATCCCAGCCTCTGCACAGTCTCTATGGGCTGAATCTGCCCTCCCTTTGCCACCCTATTCCTACCAGAAGTGATGAATTTAAGGTGCCAAGGGATCTGGCTCAGGGCAGGATTTGGCCTCTCTGGGATCAGTTTATCCACTTTTATGGCTGCCTCTGCTGGAACATCCTCATTGAATTAGAAATGGTCTAATTAGGCCTTGGGGTTCTCCATTTCACTGCCCCTGGGGGCAGCTGCAGGTTCTGTGCCCTCAGGAGGGTTCCAGCAGCCTGGGAGCAGCTCTGGGGCTGCTTTGGTTCCTGCTGGAATGGGTCTGGAATGAGTGTTGAAGAAAAACCTTGGGATTTCCTTTAATTATAATAATTATCTGTACTGTGGGCAATTGCATCTCTGTATCCAGCCCAGGCTGACCTGTGTCCATACCTGGGCACAGAATTCCAGAATCTTTAAGGTTGGAAAAGCCCTCCCAGCCTCCCTGTGCCCCATCCCCACCTTGTCCCCCAGCCCAGAGCACTGAGTGCCACATCCAGTCCTTCCTTGGACACCTCCAGGGGTGGGGATTCCAAACCTCCCTGGGTCCAAACCCTTTCCATGAGGAAACTCCTCCCAAAATCAGCACTGACCCTCCCTCAGTCACAGACCTTGACCTTGGGGCTGGCAGGAACCAAAGCTGCCACACCTTCACCTGCCTGTGTCTCCTCAGAGCCTCCTCTGCTGCTTGTTCAAAGCAAACCAACAGCATAAATTACATTTTTAGTGGTTTTAATTAAAAGCTTTACATTTTTCAGGTGTTGATCAGTCAGTGAGTTCACAGTGTTGTAAGGCAAGAATCTCCCACTGCCTCCCCCTCCCCACCCTCCTGACGAGCAAGTTGGTGGTTTCAGGGGTTCAAAACACCCAGGGTTTGGCTAATCCATAAAATTCCATGGCCAGGGAGAGGTGCCAGTGCTCCCACAGAGCCAGCCTGGAGTGCTGGGAGTGCAGAGGAAACTGTGTCTGCTGAGCACATGCACGTCAGCCCAGAAATGCACAATAAATTAAGCTCAATTAGCTGTAAATTAAGTAATCAGGGCTCTACACTTCGTCTCCTCTCCAGTTCCCGGGTTGCCAACCCACAGATCACAAAAGTCACCCAGAACACCCCCCAGATTCCTGTTCCTGGGTGTTCCAGGGGGCTGTTCCAGGTGGCTGTTCCTGCCATGGCACCAAGAGCAGCTGGAATTTCTCCCAGCCCTTGAGCTCAGGGACAGCTCAGAGACCCTCCCCGAGCACACACCGGTGCATCCCTGCTCCCAGGACAAACCAAATTCCCGAGGAACACCCGGGTACATCCACAACTCCACCATTCCCCTGGAACTGAGGAACTCTGAGGCAGCAGAACCGAGGCAGCTCGAGCAGATTAATCCTTCCCCTCCCACGAGGGACAGTAAATCTAAACTATTAATAAAAGGCAAAAAAGAAAACCTCAGCCTAGTTTGCAGCCACAACCCAAACTCCAGTTCACAGTCCACACATGAAAGACCCTGAAATCAACTCCATTCCAGCGCTGGGAGCTGCCATCAAACCCCAATTTTCTCCACAGAAATTGCTTTACTAGTCCAATGGGCCTCCCCCCAGCTGCAAATAAAACTGCACATTTCTCAGACCTTAAAAAAAAGCTCAAATACAGCCCTGATGTTGCACAAAGGGGAGGCTGAGGAGGCCTGAGGGCTGTCCCCTGGCCCCTGGTGTGAAGGCAAGGCAATGGCCGTGTGGTTGCAGCCGAGTGTTTTCCAGTTTTTATCTTGGATGAAAAAAGCAATGGATGTGTGGCAGCCTAAAACATGTCACACCTTGGAAAGCATCTCACAAAGCCTGTGGGTTGGGGCATTCCTGGGCTCCTCTGAGCACACCCCACGTGGGCTGAGGGGTTCCAATGGATCCCGAAGGCAGCCCTACACAGTGTTATCCACTAGAAAAATAGGGAAAAACGGGAAAAACCCACCAAAACCCCGCTGTGCTGTGGGTGTCTGTCGGTGCAGGGTGGAGTTGGGTGGGTACCACGGACACCAGTGACACCAGTCACTTCCCAGCTCCCCTTGGGTCTCCAAGTGTCCAGTGCCTCATCCCTGCCCATCCCGGGCCTGGGAGGGGCCCAGGGGCTCTGGAGCCACGTGGCTGCTCCAGACAATCCCCTGGGAATGGGGTGCAGCCCCCAGGCCTGGCAGGAGGGCAGGCAGGACAGCCTGACAGCCTGGTGGGTTGCAGCACCACAGTCCCTGAGCATCCCCCCCTTTTCCATGCTTTTCCTTAGCTCCCTTCCATGGGAATGGGGCTGTGGGACGGGCGGCAGCTCCCACACCAATCCCAGCACTGGGAGAGTGGGATCTCCCGTCTCCAAAAACATCTCCAGGCCCTCTGCCAGCAGCAGCCCCAGCGCAGCAGGGGGGTCACCACAGCCTGGGCTCTCCCAAGGCACCCACGTGCTCCTGCTCCCCTGGGATTATCCCGGGAGCCGGACACGGAGCCGGAGGGAGAGCAGAGCAGAGCAGAGCAGAGCAGAGCAGAGCAGAGCGGCCTCGGACAAGCAGGTTAAGGACAAACACCAGTTCCCAAGTGGGAGTGAGTCTGGGCTGGGCACAGCCAGGAGGGACCCCTGGCATGGCAGGGAGGTCACTGCTTCTCCAGGAAGGGGCTGAAGAGCCCCCAGTCAAAGGCCAGCATGGCCGGGGGGTTGGGCCTCTCCTTGGGCTTCTTGAAGTTGTCCCTCTCGGTGCGGAGCGTCCTCAGCACCTCCACAGGGTCTGTCTGACCCGTGAACCTCTGCACAGGCTCCTCCCTGCGGGGAGAGCAGCTCTGCTGTGCCACGGGGGGCAGGATGGGACCCCTGCCCTCCCCACACACCGCCACGGACACCACGGAGTCCCATCCTGGTGCTGGGGAGTCCCATCCTGGTGCTGGGGAGTCCCACCCTAGTGCTGGGCACTGCTGGGGCACAGGGGCCTTGTGCTGGGCAGTGTGGGACCCCATGGCCGGGCACCCTCCCCTCCCTCAGGGCTTGGGATTCCCACCGGTCAGTGAAGCTACTGGGAGAGGGGACGTTGCTGGAGGGAATAGGGGAGTGGATTTTGGGGGCCCTTCACCCCCCCAGGCGCTGGCACTGCTTACATGACCCTCAGGAAGGGGTTGTAGAGAAACTCCTCCTGCAGCGTCGAGGGCACCGTGGGCAGGTCCTCGTCATCCCGCTGCTGCCGAGGGACCAGAGACATCCAGGATCCCGCTGGCATCCAACACCCCCGGGCCCCACCCCGGGGGGCACAGTCACTTACCTTGGCCCAGGCGAGTTTCTCCTTCACCATTTCATTCTCTGGCTCCACTTTCAGGGCGAATTTGAGGTTCCGGACGGTGCATTCGTGGCCGCAGAACACCTTCTGTGGATGCAGCGGGAAGGACCCAGCATCAAACCTGCTCCAAGGGCTGGATCCAACCCATCCCCGCCACGGGACAGGCTGTGCCAGCCTCCAGCCCCCTCCTGACTGCAGGTCCCTCCCAGGGGTGGGTGCTGTGGGACTCACCGTGTCCTTGGGCAGAGCCCCCAGGATCTGGGTGAGGTTCGTGTACATCTGCTCCGCCGTCCCCTCGAAGAACTGCCCACAGCCTCCCACAAACAGGGTGTCACCTGCGGGAAAGGGCTCTGGGCACGGAGGGGCCCCCGGCCCCGTGCCCAGGGGTGGGTGCCAGGGGTGCCCCCACGCTGTGGATTCACCCCAGGAGCGCCGGGTGTGGGGGGACAGGAGCACACGGGGAGCGTGTCCCGTGTCCCCAGGACAGGAATGTGGGCAGGGTGGGATACCTGAGAAGAGGGCGGGAGCATCCGGGGAATCGTCCTCCCACATGAAGTAGCACATGTGGCCCGAGGTGTGGCAGGGGGTGAAGAGGCACCTCACCCGGATGGCCCCGAACTGTGGGGAGAGAGGGTCAGGATCCCACTGAGGGGACAAACAGACCCCCCCACACCCCTTGGCATCACCCACCCGGGCTCAGAGAGCTGACAGTGGTGGTCTGGATAAGTCCTGGGTGGCACATGCCTGGACCATGGCATTGAGCAGCAGGGCCCCAGGAAAGCGTTGGATCCTCCAGCACAACCCCAAATGGGCTGAGAACGGGGAGGAGATTTCCCTCCCATCCCAGCCTCAAATCCGTGGTGCCACATCTGCGACGGCCCCAGGGCACGGGGAGCTGAGCACAGCCCAGCAGCACCAACCCAGCCCAAAGCACGGTGCCACCCCACAGGGGACCACAGTGATATCCCACAGGGGGTCCTGCCATCGCCCCTCTCCACCCCCCATCACACCGTGCCAGCCCCAGCCGCCCCACAGGCAGGACCCACGTGTGGGGTCTGAGCCCCAGATGGTCCCGTGGCCACACACCGTGAGCTCCTGTCCGTGTGTCACCGTGTCCGTGAGGGCCCCGATGCGCTGGTCAGCCCCGAACACCCTCAGCCCCGGGCACAGCCGCGCCAGCTCCTCGTTGCCCCTGGCGTGGTCCCTGTGCCAGCAGAGGAGGGAATGGGCACTCGGGAAAGGGAACGGGAAAGGCCACGGCCACCCCAACCCGGGCGCACTTACCAGTGGTGGTGGGTGGTGAGGATGGCCCTGAGCACCACGTCCTCCTTCCTGATGATCTCCAGCAGCTGAAAGGGACATGAGAGGGCAGGGGAGGTGACCCACCCACGCCTGGGACAGCCACTGTAGGACCTGTCCCGTGTGGCACCACTCCGTGGGCGAGGGACCCACTGACCAGGGCACAGGAATCACCCAAAACCACCAGGGGCTGAGGGTGGGATGAAGGCTCGACCCAGAGCGGGGCAGGGGGATTGGGAACACGCTGCTTCCATGGGAGCGGTGGCATTTTATGGCCAGCGACACCACAGAGGAGCCGTGCGGGGAAATGGTGGCCTCGCAACCCACCCCGGCCGGGCGAGCGGCCACGTGGGGCTGCCAAGGCCGGCCCCGCTGCCAGCAGGCTCCTAATGCCAACTTAACATTCAGGGCCAGGAACGAGCCCTCCGGCAGCTCCCGATTACGCTCCTCGGAGAGGAAGGAAACGTCCGAGTCAGCACCAAACGCTTAAAACCCGCGACAGCCTTTGCACGATGCGCAACAGCCCGGGCGGGGGCACAGGGGGTCACGGGGACCCCGGGCACTGCCCTCCCCGCAGCTCCCGGGACGCGGGACCGGGCACGGGAGAACCGCTCCGAAGGTTTATTTATTCCGGCTGCGGGGTCCGCAAGGCTCCAGCTCCGGCACGGTCAAGGCAACACAGAATCCCCCCCGCAGCCCGGGGGTGGGTGGGAGAGGGGTCCAGCACCCCCCGCATTCCCCCAGGGATGAAGGGGGCCGGTGCCGCCGGTGGGATGCCCGTGGATACACCCCGCTGTCCCACCGGCACATCCCCCGCGTGGGACCCGCAGCCCACCCGGGGGGTAAGGGGGGGGTGTCCGAGCGCCTCTCACCCTTTTGGGAACCGCGGCGTCCACGGCGACGGCGTCGCGGGTGCTCTCCTCGATCACCAGGTACATGTAGTTGTCCTCCAGCACCGAGATCACCTTCACCTTCATGGTCCCGCACCGGCCGCGGCAGCAAAGCGGGGAGGGGGGGGAGTGGACACGCAGCGAAAGGGGGGTGCGGGACCCCCGCCCGGTCCCCGCGGACCCCCCCGAGCCCCCGCGGGACGCGGCGGTACCTGCGGGCGGGGCGGGCGGCGCGTCCCGCCCCCGCCGGTGCGGTGCGGGGCGGATCACGCAGCGTGGGGCGGGGAGAGCCCGCACGGCCCTTCCACGCACACACCGCACACACACACAGACACACGCGGGCGATGCGGGTCCCGCAGCGCCGCGCCGGGAAAGGAGGGGGAAAAGGGAATTTCCCGCGGTGCCCCCCCCCCCCCCCCGCGCATCACCCTGGGGTCCCACGGACCGTCCTGGCACCCAGCGGGTCCCAGCAGGCTGAGGGTCCGGCCGGGAGGGAGGAGGCAGGGTGGGGACACGCGGGGTCCCCCCCAGCCCAGCAGCGTCGCTCCCACTGCAAACAGGGGACAAGGACAGGGGTGGGGGGCTCCCTGAGGTGCCCAGCAGGTGATGGAAGCACGGGGGCTGGGACATGGTGAGAGTGGTCCTGGTCACCGGTTCGGGGGGGCTGGGAGGGGCTGGTGCCCCATCAAGGCAGAGCTCCGGGGTCAGGAGCCCACCGAGCCCAGAAAGCACGGAAGGCACAGGAAGGGCAGGGGCAGAGCCCTGCTCCGGTGCCTTTCCCAGCTGGACACAAATCCTGGTTCAGGGTTGACCATGGTCCCACAAATAAAATCATTTAGATTGGAAAGGCCCACTGAGATCGAGTCCAACCATTCCCCCAGCACTGCCAAGGCCACCACCAACCCGTGTCCCCCAGGTGCCACATCCACAGGGCTTTTAAACCCCTCTGGGGTTGGGGACTCCACCCCTGCCCTGGGCAGCTGTGCCAGGGCTGCACAACACTTTCAGTGAAGGAATTTTCCCAATATCCAACCTCAACCTCCCCTGGCACAGCTTGAGGCCGTTCCCTCTCCTCCTGTCCCTTGTTCCCTGGAAGCAGAGCCCGACCCTCCCTGGCTCCCTCCTCCTGTCAGGGAGTTGCAGAGCCAGAAGGTCCCCCCTGAGCCTCCTTTTCTCCAGGCTGAGCCCCCCCAGCTCCCTCAGCTGCTCCTGCTGCTCCAGCCCCTTCCCCAGCTCCATTGCCCTTCCAGCCCCTCAAATGTCCTTCCTGTCCCAATTGCCACTTGTGCAGGAGGGAACTCGCTCACAGGCAGCAAACCAGTGCTGAACCTGCTCCCTTCTCCTCTCACAAGAAAATACACTTGTCAAAAGACCTTGAATAAAGCCCCAGAGGATCCCAACATGCCACCTGCTCACCCCAGGATTAGGCAGAAAGACGCTTCCAGTTGTTTGGCTTCAGTCATTTGTACAAAATAAATAAATTCATAAACTTGGGAGCTAAAGAACCCCCGAACAGCTCCATTTCCAGCCGTGCTTTATTTCTCCTCTGTCACAGCCACTCCAGTGTAGCAGCACAACATTCCAGTTCAGGAGGCAACAACAAAGCTTTAGGTACCACTTTTCATTCTGAGTTACATAAAATTTAGCATTTTGAAGCAAACAAAGACCTGGTGCTCATACAATGCCATGCAGGTGGTGTTGGAACAGCAAACACAGGGACACAGGTGACACCCAGGTGGTTCCAGGTTCCATCGTGGCATCACCTACCAACGTGTGCCAGGGAGAGGGGGAGAAACAGGAACCAAAATCATCTGAATATTTTCAAAGTTTCATCTGCAAAATATTTCTTAGAAACAATCTCTGGTCCTGGAGCAGGTCTGTGGTACAGAGGAGACCAAGGAACCAGGAAGAATAGACAATGAGGAGGAAGATGGATTAAAGATGCTGATGCCACGTGGGGCTGGTCCCACCCTGTCACTCACATCCCTTGTTTAAAGACCTCGAGCTGGAGGATGGGAATGCAGGAGGGGGTGACCCCAATCACCACAAATCTGCATTTATTTCCCTCCAAAATGGACCCCATTCATCAACTTGGACACACTATTCCCTGTTGGAAAAGCAGCCCAAGGGGAGCTCCCTCCCTGCAGCTTCCAAGCTGGCTGCAGGCTGGGGTCACACAGCTCTAGTCATACAACCCTGGAATGGTTTAGGGTGGAAGAAACCATAAAGATGACCCAGTCCCAACACCCTGCTGTGGGCAGGGATGGGATTTGCAGCCATCAGCCAAAGCCCTGCTCTGTTGGTGTGGCACTGACAAGGGTAACTCACAGGTCACAGGTAAGAGCAGTAAGCAGGTCCATGCAAACAGGCTCAAGACTGAAAGGGTGTAAGCAGTGCAGTACCTGGGAAAAGTCACTGCCATCCATGCCAGGGAAGGTCAGGGAGAAGGGAGAAGCTGGATGTCCCCACGTGCCATTCCCAGAGCCAGGCTGCCCCACCTAGTTCCCAAATTACACCCTGAACTGGCTCTGGCAGAGCAGGTCTGTCACTGGGAACTGGTTTTAGCGGAGCCAGAAGCGACACTCAGAACGTTGCAGCAGCAGCATGGAAGAAACACTCAACTCTTCAACTACTGTGTTTGGTCTCTGCTTTACACAAAAGCACCTCGGCCCCAGTCCCACTGTCTGCATCCACATCAGGCTCCTACAAAACCAACAGGAGCTTCTTCCTAAACCTCCAGGTTTGATCCTTCCCAGCCCAACCCCTGAGCCTCACACCAACACTGGTACAATGACCTGCACGTGACACGTGACAGCTCGAGAGACAGCAACAGAGGGATAAATATTCTTCATCGTAATATAAATATGCTGTAGAACATCTCAACAAAAGGGGCAAAGTGCTTTTCTTCTCCTGAATTAAAACAAAATAAAGACCTAGACAGGACTGTCTCAACCACAACAGAAGGTTTGACTCCTAGGACAGGTGAATGGTCTAAAGGACGCTGCGGCGGCGCGGGCGGAGCTCAGTCCCGGGGCACTCGGAAGTTGTCCTTCTCCTTCCTGATGGCCCCCATGGTGCGCACGGGGTCGGTCTCCCCCGCGTGCTGCTGGACTGTCTTCTCCCTGCCAGGAAGGAGGGAAGAGCAGGATGGGAGAAAATCTCAGGTGGGAAGTCGCGACCGTCACGTTTCGCTGCATCGGGGGAAAAGCTGCACTCAGAGATCAAAGACCCGGGGCTTTGATCAACTCCCCTGCTCTGAAGGCTCATGGGCAGTAGGGGATTGCAAACACTCTCCTGCCTCCAACAGCATCTTCTGCTGTGTCCCTCTGCCGAACTCGGCTTGCTGAAGGAACACGAGGACACAGCAGAGCCTGTTCTGTCTCCTGAGTCAGGGACAGATGCTGACCACAGCCCTCAAACCCAGCCAGCTTCTGCCAGGACAGCCAGTGTGTTCTAAGGAGGGTCTTGGAGGCATCCAAACAGGAATATGAGAGGCAGGAGAGCAATTCCCACTTATGGCTCTTTCTTTGGAGACCTCCTCCTTCCTGCATCCCCGCTCCCAGCACAAGGACATTCCCACCCCCACGGCTCCTCCATACCTCACTCTCATGAAGGGGTTGTAGGTGAACTCCTCTGCGATGGTGGAGGGGATGGTGGGCTCTCCACTGTCGTACTGTGCCTGGAACAAGGAATGTTTGGTGAACAAGGAACGTCCTGTACATAGCAGGATGTTTTTGAGGAGGGTCACGTCTCCACCAGGCAGCAAACCACCTTCTCTGGGCACACCCAGACCCTACTCCTGGAACACAACATCCTGCAGCTCCTGGATCTCAACTCCCATCCCTCGGCCTCTCTTTCTCCCCAGTGTTGTCTCATCTCCCCCACCTCCTCAGCAAGGCTCTGCCTCCACAAACCCATCAGGTCTGGGGAAAGGATGGCCCAGCTTACCTTGGCCCACGCCAGCTTTTCCTGGATATTGGCATTATTGGGTTCAACGTGCCGAGCAAACTTGAGGTTGTTGATCGTGTATTCGTGACCACAGTAAACCCTCTGGGAAGGGAAGGAAGGAAGGGTGACACTGGGTAACTCTGAGGGTACAAAGGGGCAGTGCCAGGTGCCACCACCAGAGTTATGGGGCAGCAGGAACAACAAAGTCAACCTGAGGGCACGTGACACTTCCCATGGAGACGTGCATGGGACAAGTGCAAGGAGGTGCCAGCCAGGACTACCTGCCAATTCAACAGATGAAAGAGCCCTGTGTCCCAGCTCAAGAGCCTTTAATAAGCAGCCCCTGCTCTTTCCCCACATTTGGGGCAAGCATTTCCTTCCCAGAGGACTCCAGCTATCCATCAAAGACAAATCCCCACATCATTTCTTCTACACATGAGAAAACCTCCCTCTGAACAACAGTACTATTGGGAAGGCAGTTTCTTTGATGCCTGTGGTGGTTTCTGGCTGGTTAATTCCCACAAAAGGAGAGGTTCCTACCGTTCTGGGGTCCAAGCTGCCCAGAATCTCGATCAGCGCCTTGTACATCTCCTCCGGGGTTCCCTCGAAGAACTTCCCACAGCCAGCCACGAACAGGGTGTCACCTGCCAGGGAGGTGTGACGTGGCATCAGACCCACACGAGGCTCCTCACAGCACAGGGTCCCCCAGGGCTCAGCCCTGCCCTTGCTGTCCCCACCACAGCAGCAGAAGGCACAGGCACAGCCAGGCTGCCCCGCACGGGCTCGATGCCACAACATAAACCCACGTGGCAAACGTGGTTTCTATGGCACAAAACCCCACAGCCTGGCCAGGCACACCCTGCCAGCACCTCCCTGCCTGTGGGCAGCCTGCTGTCCCCTCCTGTCCCTCCTGGAGTGGACAAGGAACTTGCTCTTTGCTATGAAGTTCAACAGAGATGAGTCACCTCTGCATTTCTCCCCAGTGCTCCCTAAAATCTCGCTTAAGCCGTTACCTCTTCCATGCAGCAGCTGGTGCAAGCTCTGGAGAACACCCAGCAGGACAGGGATGACCTGGAGTCTGGGGAGACTGGGCACAGCCTCAAGGAAGGGGGGACCCTGCTCCCCACACCAGGATCCAGACCCTGGCTACCAGCAGTGCAGCAGCAGCCCTCCTTACTCCTCTATTTGCTCCTCTCTCAGTTTGGTTACAGACAGGATCACAGATATATGGAAAAGCAACAGGTTCTGGGATCAGCCCGTTTGGCCTGGGACAGGAAACCAACAGCTCTTGTTTCAAGGAAGAAAATGCTGGATGTAGGACTCATCCAGGGCTCACTCCTGACGTCGTTTGCAGGGTGTCCAGCACTGGTTTACAAACCCAGAGGGGTTTCACCAGTTCCACCTACAATTCCTACTTGGCAAGGGGCAAGACGTGGATGTTGGAGCAGCTGCACCGGCAGGAAGGGCCGGATGCACAGCCAGAGTCAGAGGCAGAGGGGGGGCTTCTGTCTTTGCAAGGGAACCTCCCAACTCCTCACCTGTAAAAACTGCAGGTGGCTCGGAGCTATTTGGCTTAGTCACATAATAACAGATGTGTCCCGAAGTGTGACACGGCGTACTGAGGCATTTCACATTAAGAGATCCCACCTGAGAAGAAGGCAGAAGACTGGAGCTTAAGCTTCTGTTTGCTACCAATCGTATGGTTAGAAAAGAATTGCAACTGTTACAGTGGTCTAGTGCTCCTACAGGGCCCAAACTGGCACAAAGCTGGCCAGGAAGCATCAACTCTGCTCCTGGGGAGGCCAGTGAGGGAGGGCTATGGCAGGGACTCGGGAGGGAGCTGTTTCCTGCGAGCAGGTGCTGGGACAAAGAACTGCCAGGTCCTTTCATTTCCATGCAGAGAGACTCAATGCCCGGTTGGCAGCAAGAGCCAACAGACCCAGAGCAACACAAAATCCTAAACAAAGCTGATCAGGCGTGAAAAAGCTGCAAACAACAACAAAGCTGAAGGGAAGAAGTGGATGACACTCAGGAAAAGGGAAGGATTAAACACAGCCTCATCCCCACGCCTTCCCGTGTATTCCTGTGCTCCCTCCTGTGCTGCTGCCCCCCCAAAGGTGCACCCGAGGCCAGCAGTGACATTTGTGCCAGTTTGTGTCATCTGCCAGCTCTCCTGTGAACAAACAGCCTGGTTCCAGCCAGGCCTGCTGCTTCACCTGGCACTGCTGGCCCCCTGTCCCCCCAGCCCGTGTTCCAGCCGTCGTTCCCACAGGAACACCCGCATTTGCTCAGTGCAGAGCACGAGCCCTGTCCTGCCACACGGCTGTTCTGACCCCCCCAGGAGCACAGGACACCCAGCACATGTCCCAGGTGCCTGGGCCATGCCAGTGCTCTCAGCAGCAAAGGATCACTGGCCAAAACAAGACAGAGGGGTCGCAGTGCACGGGGCTGGAAAAGGGTGAAAGCTGCGCTCCAACTGCTCCATCCAGGAGGTGTTGAAAGGTAAGAGAGCTGTGAGCACAACAGTAACTCGGGGCAGACCACACCTGCCCAGCTGTGACACAACAGGAGCTGCCCCACCACGTCCTGCAGCTCCCTCCCTTTACCTGGAGTGCTGTCAGGTGGGACACTTTCTGGGTCAGAGCTCCCACTCTGTTGTCTCCCCCGTACACGTGCAGCCCCGACTCCATCTTTACAAGCTTCTCATTTCCTCCAGCATGGTCCCTGCAACATCAGAGACATGGATTTGGGAAGGAATGAAGAGAAATTTAAGGTGATTTATATTGCAACGGTAATCTGCAGGTGATCACCTCTGATCAGTCACTCTCCCAGTATGTAACACTCCTCATATTAAAGAATAAGCCATGTCAACATGAGAGGAGATAATTTCTCCAGTAATTAGGGCAGTGAGAGAGAGGAACAATCCCTGAACAAGTTCCTACCTAGTTGGGAAACACCACCCTTAGGGGTTCACAGTCAACTCTCCAGTTACTAGGGCAGGGAGGGAATGGGATAAGTGGGATATGCAATCCAGCATCCCACAAGACACCATGGAGCAGGCACAAGGTATCCAACAGCTCAGGATTGACCTGTGCTGCTGGTTTGTCCAGACTAGGGCTGGTCCTTTGGCTCTCCAGCCACAGAGGTGGCTCCACTCTGACCCACAGGAGAGGTTCAGCACTGCTACAGCAAAACATTCCTCCTTACACCCCTGGCAGAGTTAATCTGCACCTCGGGGGATCCTCCCACAGCTGCTGGCTGTGAGCAGGACACTTCAGGGGCATGCCCTGGCACCTCAGTGCAGGGTGCTCCCTCCACACCCAGGTACTGCACTGGCCACCTGGGAGGAATCAGCACTTTAAAGGTTAAAGGCACTGACACACAGAGCCCACGGCCTGGACAGTGCATCTGCTCAGGCAAGGCCAAGGGAATGAGCTCTGACCCTTCTCCTCACACCTCAGCTGCTGCTCCAGAACAGCAGCAGCTCCTGGCTGCCTGTGTTTGTGCCCAGGGACCCCAGGCTGGGGGTGGTTACCAGTGGTGGTGGGTGGTCAGGACAGTGGTCAGCCTCACGCCGTGCTTCTTCACTGCATCCAGAACCTGCGGGCACAGGGCACACAAGGGCAGTTACACCTCCCCTGGAATGAGCTGCCAGCACACCTGGTGTCACCTGGACACAGCAGCAGCTTTGCAGGGAGCCCATCCCTCCCCAGGGGGTTCCAGAGCAGGGCACGAGGGCTCTGACCCAGCCAGCGACTGAGCCCTCAGTCCCATCTCCTCCTTTCTGCTCTACATCGAACCAAGGGCAAAACCCCAAACGAGGTCAGGGAGCCCTGGAGCCAGGGCCAGGCTGGCTGGGCAGGCAGCGTGGCTCTGAGCCCTGCCTGCACCTCTGCACAGCCAGTATTTCCTGCCTTTCCCCCACGCCCGAGTCGGCGCGTCAGCAATTCCCCCATGGATGCAGTAACCTGGAAGGATGTCCCAGAGCCACGGCGAGCGCTCTGCTCCCAGGGCAGTGTTACCTTCTGGGGGTTCACAGGGTCCACGATGGCAGCCTCCTTGGTTTCCTCATCGATGAGGAGGTACATGTAGTTGTCTGTGAGGGCTGGCAGGATTTCCACCTTCATGTCGGCCTGTGGGACCGTCTTCGGCTCCCTCCGCTCGTGCTCCGTGTGCAGGAAGAAAGCTCGCAGCTGGGCTGGACCTGGGCACCCCAAAAACAGCCACACCTCAGCCCAGGCAGGGGGAAAAGTGGGACAGAGCACAGCCAGACCCCCAGTCCATGATCACAGAGAAGGGAGGGTACGGACAGCCCAACCTGCCTTCTCCAGAGGAGGAGGAGCGAGGCCACCATAGGACAAAGCCTTGGAGCCTGGCAGTGTCACCTTGTGCCCCTCAGCTGCCCCAAGGGGGACGGGACACTTTGCTCATGCAAGGAAAACACTGTGCTTGGATCAGAGAGGAGGTTTCAAGGGGCAGGAAAGCAGAACGGAGAGGGAACAGCTGGACAAAGGTCAACCTGGACAGTGACTTCGAAAAAAATAAAAATCACAAAAGACAGCCAATTACAGCCAAAAGACAAAAAGGAAGGGGGGAAGGAGAAATATAGAAATACAGGCCCTGCTACAACAGAAATATCTGGTTTGTTACTTGGGGAAGTGACATCTTGCACGATCCATGGAAGCTCTCCATGGAAGGAGGGCTCCCTGCCTGGCCAGGTAACAGGCACACACAGGGCTCCTGCTCACGGGCTCCCCTGATGCAACAGCAGTGGAACATGGAAATATTTGCTTTTGGTTAAATGTTTAATCAGATCCAAGAAGCAAGTTCCAGAGGCAAATAACCTGGGCTCCACTGTTCAAGGCACAGATTAGCAGCACTTAAAGAAACAACCAAGCCCTAAGAGGCTCTGCCACAAAAAATAAAGGAAGGGAAAGGAAGAGAACAAGGTCTTCCATTGCTGGGGCCCTGCAGTTCAGACCTGAGTCCACACCCGTGCAGGGAAAGAGGTGTCAGACCCTGCAGGTCAGGAATCATTGTCTGAACACCACCAAGGTGTTTGCTCACTCCCAGAGGTGCCTGTGCTGGGCTGAGCTGGGCTGGCACAGCCCCGTTTCACTGCACCACCGACTCTCCCTGAGGCTCCCAACACTCCGTGCTTTGGTGCCAAAGGGAGGGGTCCCCGTGCTGCCATCACCCTGCCCCACTCTCCCAGAGCAGCTCAGGCCTGCCCAGCCCTGATAAGAGCTGCTCCAGGGAGAAGAGTCCCACAGACCTGCAGCTCCATGGGCTGATGGGGCTGGAAAAGCGAGACTCAGCCCTGAGAGGAGCCAGAGAGCTGCTCCTGCTGCAAACCCAGCCCGGAGCTGTCAGGCCTCTCTGCTGCAACTGCCCAGAGCTTCTCCCCCTTCTACCTCCACCACCCCACCTGCTTATGAGGGAAGGGAAATCAGGAGGGGAGATGGCAGTAAAATGAAACACTGTGCTCGAGAAAACCCCAAGGCAGGATGGAACAGGCATGCACTGGGTATTGATGGTGAAGTATTCAGGAAAGCATCCATACCTGCCAAGTGTTCCTCTGGAGCAGAAGACTCCTTTCAAAAAAAAAGAACAACACGAAAAAGCCCTTACTATTCCTTGGTAGGAAAAAAAATTCCCCAAAAAACAACTGCTCCCTAACACAGAGCACTTCTGGCTGCTGTCAGTCACCAGAGCTGTATATACTGGGTGTTTGTTTGCATGCCAGACACTAACTGGGGAAAAAAACACAACCAAACAAAAGAAAACACAACCTTAACTTCAACTCAAAGGAATTATTCACATACTTAAAATGCTTCTTTCCTGTGAACCATCTCTAACCTTGGCCAGGATCCCAAAGCCTCTTTGCATGTTTAATTCACAACTCTCACAAAACAAACAAACAAGCTACACCACATAAGGAAATGTTTTCTAACATGTAATTTCAACAAAGGAATGAGAAAACATCCACCAAGAAAGAAACTTACTCCTTGTGAATTCCCATCTGCAGCTCAGCTGCCCCTTTCCAGCCTGCCCAGTTGGAGCAGACCAGGAGTGCCCTGCTCTGAGAAGGGCATGTTCTGAGAGCTGGTTCAGCTTAAAGCCGCTCCCCAAGTGATGCCCAGCCTCTGGCCCAGCACTAGCTCCCTGTCACACACGCAGCTCTGCTCCAAAATTAATGCCCAGTGACTTCATTTTCGCTCACTTTTGCACCACGTCCCTCCTGACTTCAGGCCTGGAGCAGAGCAGTGGGGAGGGCAGAGCCAGCAGCCTCTGAATCACACACTTGGCCTTCCTGGAACGGCTTCTCAGCACAGCTGGAGAGGCCAAGACGAAAGGGTTTGCAGCTGGAAGTGTTAATGTCATCACAGAAACG